GGAAACAAAGAAATACGCTACGTTTCGGTACGATATGGTTGAAGTGGAAAACGGCCTTTAAATGGCTATGTAACTAACACAAACCCTACCCCTAGTCCCAACTCTAACACCTAACCCATAACCCCTAACCCTAACTCTAAACGCAACTCTAACCCTAATCGAATTAATAAAAAAAAAGAAAAAAGACTTTAGAAAATCGATAAGGCGGTTTGCTGGATGGAAAAAAGTGCTAACCGCCAAAATCATTGGAAAAATCATAGGAAAACCATGAAATTGGGCTTCTGTATGACCCATTCTGTGCCCTGGTTATGATGGCGCTACCGCTTATAACTTTTGGTGCAACTGGCCTGAAACTTAAAATATTGATTCAATAAGTTTATTATTAATATATATTTATTGAAAAATAGCTATTATGTCAAAATAACAAAACTTAAGATTCTCACGCGAATAGGCAATGTTTTTATGAGCGACTGTTCATCGTTAGTTGCAAACGACGGTAATATAAACAAGGTCAAGGTTTTATCGAAAGCGATTGATTGTTAGATTTCCTTTTATTCTATTTTATAACTAAATAATGTTACTTCCTACAAATTTAGCTTTCTTGTAGCTTTATCGAAAGTATAAAAAAACATGGAAACGGCGAATTACTATAGATTGAAAATAATTATTAAAATATGATTGAAATTATCGACGTAGAATGCTATTTCGTTGTATTAAATTTCAATAGTATTAATGAGAATTTTGCTTGCTATTTTAATATATTTCATGTTATTTACAAGATGTACTGTGGTTTTGAAGTTTTGCACACAATATAGTAAGCGTTAGCACAATGACTCCGTTTCAATTTGAGCATATATAAAAAATTAATTGAGTATTTTGATAGCGTAGCCAGGCTTCACAATATAAATATTAAAAACGACTGATAAATCATCATTCATTGCGTGCACAACTGCTCCAGAATCACAACAAATAACAGAATATAAGGAAAATTAAAACCAGCAAATCTTTACCTATCTTGATCTATTTTTCTAAGGCGCTCATTTATGTAAATTTTCCGCGAACACTCAAACATTTTTGTTTGCCTTTCCTCGAGCATTAGTGATGAATTGCTCGTCGGAAAAGCTCGGTATTTGTCGTATTTTACGAATTTGCCAGGTGACCGGTACGCTAACCACCGGTCACCGCGACACGAAATTTAGAGCTATATGAAAGTTGTATGCCATATATGGCATGCAACAAAAAAATTTAGTTAGGCCAGCAATTTGGCCCGCGGCCAATTCCCACTGAAATTCCCTCCCGCCTGGGAGTCTGGGAACTAAAATGCCCTTATAAATCCGCCATTTTGTGGAGACAAATTTTTCACTGAGAAAAGATAGGAGTACGCATTCTATATCTATTATTTCTATGCCCGCAGCCCGCAAAACATGACCCGCAGCCCGCAAAATAGCTAGACCCCCCTTCGTTATTGCTGTTTTTGTTTTTGTTTTGTTTTTTGGCCGGGGGGGGGCTGATGGAAATTCCGCATGTCCTCAAAGGGGGGGGCGCAAATTCAATAAGGAGCCTGCAACGATCTCAAATAAATTTGGTATTTCGTGGCCATTTGAGGACGCGAGAATCCTATTGGCTAAAATAATAATATATGCCGAAATACGCATAAATTACAGAGCCGTCTGTGGCGCAATGTACACGACTTCAATAAAAGCGTATATTTTTGAAAGAGAAATGTCAATTTGGGTTTTTAAATTAACTAAAATCTCAACAGCGGCAAATCGTTGAGATGTTTTGGCAGGTTTTCTCATTGGATATCTTCCTTGACAAGTCGAATAGTATGAATACAAAACAATTCACGTGTTGATGTTTCTATACACGATCAATTTGAAATACTGAGTGATAAATTATGTGTCCTATTAAAGTTTGGAATGCATGCCGCTTTATGTACTACTCGATCTGCAAATGTTGCTTTTATGTTATTACCAGAAATATATGCATGCAACAACCCCTCGCCTATATATTTCCAAACATTGTTTCAACATGAAGTATTCGTAATTACGGGAACACTGAACGCAGGCTCGTGTAGTCATGTTAGGCATGGCAACACCATAATTGTTTTTTTAATTTTTTGTACAAACCGGGAAAAAATACTGAAATTTGAACACTTTTAAATACGTACAGAACTATCAATTTCTAAAATATATAAAGTAGGTATAATAGTTTGGTTTCTATGGGCTTTATTTTAATGTAAAATTCAAAACGAAACTCTACGTAAAACATTTTTAAATGTGAATTGAAATTAACTGCTTTTTGCCGATATTTATAAACTTATTACTCGCACTTTGAAATGAAACAAATTTAATTCGTACAGGAGGCTAACGAAAATAGTTTGCTTTCCTTTTAATCATGAACTTCTACAAAAGTTAATTTAACTAAGAAACTTTCGCAAACAATGCATAGGAAAGACTAGCCTGCAAACAGGCTCAGCTAAGACTTGAACATCAAGAACAAAGTCTATATTATTAAATACAAAGTCATACATAAACAATTGAAACAAACTTGCCCTATAATTTGGGATTTATCATACAATATCAATTCTTATCAATGTTTACGTTCAAAATTTGAAAAAAAGTTGTACAATTTGTTATGTGAAACGATTTTCCAAGCTTTCTTACATGTATTTTTTAATATTTTTTGCCTTCTTCACTCGTGGCAAACATCCATATTCTGAGATCAGTGATGACCACCCAATCAACACCGTTGGTGAGCGCCCGCGATAATTGATGAACTTTACACTTCGCTAATGCTTTCGTTTCCCCGGGTGTATAAAGCCGGGGGGGATTAGTACCCTCGTACTACCCCTTAGTACTCGCACGGCACTTCGCGCCGTCGGCTCGGGGATTAAAATGTGGCGGTTCCATATTTTATTTATTTAGAGTTTTACAGCAGGCTGTAATGTAAAACTACATTGCAATTTATCTTGTATTGTGATATATTCCTAGAGTTTGTTATTGTCAAATTTGTAAACATTACTGTTCAGCCGTTGCAATTTTCAAACATATATTCGCTCATAGCTTGTCATATTTTGTTTGCTTTTGAAATTCATTGTAATGTTTTGGCCTATAAGATGGTATGTCTTCTTCTTGATATAAATATTTTTGAGTTGCCGGTCATTATTAAAACCATGGCCAGAAATTCGGGACATGTGCCCGCAATATATCTCAACGGTCTTACTTATGAAAAGTTATTCATACATAACAAACGCTAGTTTTAACTAAAAAAATACATTTTGCTTAGTTTTTTATTTAACTAAAGCAGCAAAATAGATATATTAGGTATTGTCGGCCTTTTACATACCTTTCATTTATTATGATGGGATATAAAGTGGTGCGCATGGTAAACGACTCAAATATTTTGTGTATACATCGCTATCCCTCCGTGTAACCCGCAAGAAAGTCTGGTTCCCAAGCATCTTGCTGATATCAAACATGGCCGACAATTCAAATAAAATATCGTTCTTCTTGTAATGTTTTACGGCCTATGGACAGGGTATTTATGGGTAAAATATCAAGATTTTGTCCCGTAAATTGGAACAAGTTAAAAATTCCGTATCACTATTAAATTATGCAGACAAGCAAGGGAAAACATTTGCGAAGTCTGCAAATGACATAGCTATTATCAAACAAGTTTAAATTAACAAAAAACGCGCCACTTCTAATGATTTATATATAACAAATGCGCCATTTTGTTTGTCAAAGTTCGCACATGCTCAGAATCCATGTCTGCAATTTCTGTCCATGGCAAATTATTGGTCGAATCATTGTATTTTTGGGTCTACTATATTTAGACCAATGTCACCAATCTGACATGTAAATGGTCAATGTTGAGTAAGGGCATTAAATAAGTGAATTGTGTCACATACTAATGTACCAAACCGATGTCGCCGGTGTAAATTCTGTTTTATTTGCTCCAAAATCAATTTAACTGCCAATTTTTTAAAATTCTCGAGCTACTGTATAAACTACAACAGTAATAAAGGTTGGCTAAATTGGTTATTACACTGACACTTCATCACGCACACGGATTTCTGGCAATATGATTGGTTGGTGTGGAAATAAATTATCATAGATTATATTATCAATTTCCTTTAAGATTTGTGCAGGCTCTTCGTTGAGATGAGCCTGCCACGCAGGCTATAGGGGAGAGGGGATATTAATTACGCAATCCGCGAATCCAGCATCACAGTCAAACTACAAGAATTTGCCCGTTTCTTTAGTCTGTTTACATTTCCTGGAATTTGTTCTGTATTATTGTAACAGTTGTTCATAGACAAATACCGCAATAAAATACCCTATTATAGGAAATTAACGATGCACTTTATTAACGCGACATAAATTAACGCGACATCAAATTAACGCGGATTGCTTCTAGGTCTTTTAAAACTTGATAGTATTAACGCGAATCTGATCTCCATGGTTGACAAATTAATTAAATTAACGCGAATCGGATAGTGATCTGAGTTGAGAGGAGCACTGATGTTTTTAGTTTACGTTAATATGCTGTATTTTGATATTAGAAGAGTTAGTGTTATATAAAACAAACCAAGGTCTTTTTAACTAACGATAAATAAAAACTACATACTTAAAATTAACGATGACATAAATTAACAATAATTAAATTAACGCGAATTTTTAAAATCCGCGTTAATAAAGTGCATCGTTAATTTCCTATAATAAGGTACCAGGTGATCTGGGCGAAAAATTTTAGCGAATCAGCGCACAGCAGGGGCCCCCCAAATAGAAATCCATACCGTGCTGCCGCGCGCGCTTGCAAACTCGAAGAATCTGTAAACATGGCGGGAAAATATAGCTAAATTATAGCTAAAACGATACGTTTAAAGAAAATTTACAACTCGTAGGCATTTTGTACTCACGTTTTACTCTTCGTGTTGGTGTTGGACCGCCGATTGACAATTTTTGAGAAGTCTAATCTTCAAAATCTCGCGAAATCTATGTTCGATGCCGCCGAAGGGGGTCTAAAGACGCATTCTTTCTGGCATGATCTCGAAGATTTAAAATAGCTAGCTGGGCAGCCCGTACTAGGGTAGGATCACGTACAAGTGGTAGACGATCGTGTGGAGTTTCCCCTTCGGTAGGATTAAAATTGGAGTAGTCGTTGCAAAGTCTAGTGCGTAAGGCAGAACATAGTGATGGTATTCTTTGTAACTTTGACTCCAAATTCTCGGGGAGCTTCTGGAGATGGAATACAATGACTAACCTTGATGATCTGCTTGAGTTGGTAGGGGTTATTTCTTTCCAGACCTGAGAACCGTCCAATCTTTGCTCAACACAAGGTGAACCAAACCAACTATGACCAAACACATCAGCTGTTAGCATCCCATCAGAAGTCAGCTCCATGCCCATTATTTTATTGAATGGCACATCAATCCTGTATTTGGATTTGCTATCATTGGCCGTGGGGTGGTGTTGGACAGACATTTTCTCATTTCTACAGTTCATGTAAAATTTTGCATCTAGTTTTTCCTTTGAGACACGACGGTCGATTCTTTTCCACGAAGTGGATTCTGAACCAATGTATAATGTTACTGACTCCAGATGATAATTTAACACTCCAGCCCGACCTTC